CCATAATATATGCTTCTTGGTTTGAAAACAGATTTTTAATTACTCTTCTAAATCTTATATCAAAGTTCATCCTTTCTAACACCGTTTGCAGATATGTATGATCTATCCTGTCAAATGCTTTTTTCTGATTAACAAAAAGCATCCAATGTTGTTTAGCAATGTCTGTTTGATTTCTCATAGTTGTGAGAATATCTAGTGCTGCATCTGCTATTGATCTCTTTGTGGTTGATGGTCTAAGATAATTGATTTGCAAATCTTGTTTAGTCTAGTAGCCAAAATTTTCATAAAAATTTTGGCATCACAATTGACTAATGAAATTGGCCTTTAGTTATCTAAATTGTTTAAGTCTGCTGACTTCTTAGATATCAGAGTTATTATATTTTTGCACTAAGATGCTAGAAGCGTTCTTTCTGTTAGAACTTGGTTAAAGACTTTTTCGAGAACTGGGACTATCTATTCTTCTGTAAGTTTATAAAACTCATATATAAGGTTATTAATTCCTGATGATTTGTTGTTTGAGAGCTGCCTTAGTGTTTAACTGATTTCTTCTTGTGTGATAGGTTTGGTTAGACCTTTGTTTAGCTCTTCTGAAACTTAAGCCAGATTACTAGTTAGTTTGTTGATTGCCTTTTGATCTGTTTTTTCTTTTTTGTAGATTTTTTTATATTGTTCTTTAATAAACTTCAGAGTGTCTTCTTTTTTGTTTTCCTTTGTACTGTTAAGTTCTTTAATTATTGAAAGAGCTGAGTTTCTATGTCTGAACTTGTAGTATAAAAAAAAGTACTTTGTGGCTTCTCTTCTTGTTCAATCCACTTTGCTTTTGAGCGAATTTGCCATCTTTCTGCTAATAGTATCAATTCTTCTTGCATACAAGAGTTGAGATCCTCACATATAGAATATAGGTAGGATTTAGTTAGGTCTTCTGCAATTTGTTCTTGAAATTTTGAGAGTATTTTGTTAATCTTCGAGATCTTGTTCTCCAGAGCTTTTGGTTTCTTGAAGGCTCTTATAATCGACTGAATTCTTAGCTTTTGTAGGTCCTACTCTGCTAAGTCTTCAAAAAACATGATTTCTTCTGTTACTTCTTTTTTCAAGAGTTCATTTTTAAAGGAGTTCTTGTTAAACCTCCAGTTAGAGGATTGATTAATCTTCTGTCTTTCAGCCAGAGTGTATTCGATTAATAGATGATCTGAGTTGCCAAAAAGCAACTTTGTAGATGATATAAGATGTTCATAGTTCTCATCTATAAAAATATAGTCTAGTCTGGTTGCCATTGTTTGGTTGTTTTGAACCTTTTGATAAAATGTAAGGAACGGTTTTTGTTCTGCATATAAAGCAGAGTCTATATAATTCTTAACCAAATCTTTGAGTTGAGTTCTAGTATTGTCACTTTGAAATGTAGCTTGGCTTATTCTGTTTATAGCGGGATCTAGGTTTGTATTGAAGTCTCCTGCTAAAATATTAATAGTGTTTTCTTTGTAATATGAAGACCACTTGTCAAAGAAACCTATTCAGTCCTTTATGTTCGGAGGAGCATAGACATTTGTCACTAAAAAATATCATCCTCTGTATATAAAGTTTGTGAAGATTACTCTTCCTTCGTGTAGAACCTCTGTGTCTTGAAATTTTATTTCCTTTCTTCCTGCTAATATAGCAGCTTTGTTTGTCCATATTGATTCATATGTCCATTGCTTCTTAATAAAAGTTTGTATTGCCTGATTGTTTAGATTTGTTTCTTGTAATAGTATTAGATCTAAGTTGTATGATTTTAAAAGTGTCATTATTTTTTGTCTTTTGTTCTGATCATTAAGTCCCTTTACATTTAGGGTAGCAATTTTAATTATTGCTTTAGTCATTAAATTATAAAAATAAATATGTTTTTAATGAGTTTTTAGAGAATTCTCCTCCATTCGTTCTTTCTTGTATAGTGATTTCCTTACTATTGCTTGCTTATGTGTGTTTTGGAATTGTTTGTTCTTTTTTCTTTTGTAAAATACTGTTGTAAAGTCTTCTTCCATTAGGATTGCTGATGATATGATTTCTTGAGGTGGGTTATTTTCTTTATTATTATTACTGAATGATGGGCCATCTAGTGCTAGCTCATCTCTTGTTGTAAGTTTCGCTTCTGAGAAAGTGGTTACTTGTTCTGCTTCTTTTTGCAAATTTTTAATCTCCTCAACTATATTGAAAGATACATTATTTATTTCCTGTTCATTTACTGTTTCTATGTTTATTGGTTCTTCTGCTCTTGATTCTTCTTTTGCTTCAGTCTCTGGAAGACTTTCTGCTTCTTGAGTTACTTTGCTATAGATGTCTCTGTCTCCCATCTTGAAGGCTACTTTGAATTCTTTATAATGTTGTCTTAATACAACCGATTTTTTGTACTGAGTGCATTCCTTTTTTATATGTCACTCTTAATCACAAAAGTAGCAAGCTTTAGGAGCTGCTTTCCATTCAGTTGTAATTTTGTGTCTCTGAGATGAGTGAAATGAGGAATTCGTTTCTCTAAATCTGCATCCTCAGTTGTCTCAAAAATGACAATCTACTAGTTAGTTAAGTATGATGTTTCTTCAATTACTAGTGGTTTGATTGAGGCTATTTTGCCAAAATCCTGGAATGCATCTTTAATTAGCATTGTTATCTCTTCTTTTCCTTCTAGTGGAACATTTCTGAGTTTCACTGGAAGAAAAGACTTGTGTGAGTTTGTTAGAATATATTCAAAATATGATTTGTTAAAAATCTTGATGCCCTTGACTACATGATGGCTAAAAGTAGTTTTGTTGGCAAAGACAATCTCTAGATATGTATGATTGCCTTTTTTGAAGTGTTGTTTTGCTACTATAACATCTTGCTTGACACTTTCATAGAGTGAGACTATTATTTCATTAAAGGAGCTTTGAATATCTTGTATTTCAATAATTAAAGTGTTCTCGTTTTTGGTTCTTATTTGTTCTCTTGGAGAAAAAGCTGTATATGTTGATTGATCTCTTTTCAGCTTAGCAAATAAGCTTGACCACTTTTTGTTATTTGTATTCTTTAGTTGACTAGTATCTGCCTTGGTTTTTCTTTTTGAAGTTGAGTTTTCAATGTATGGATTCTGTTCTGAAAATTCTATGGCTCCTGGTATATTCTATTCTAGTGGTTGATCCTGATTTTCATTCATATGATCTTGCACGTATTTGGTAATGTGATTTGTTTTGTTGTTATTTTGGTGATCTTGCACGTGTTTGTAATGTGACTTGTTCTGTTGTTATTTTGTTGTTCTTCGTTTTTACGTGTTAACATGTCTGTAAAAGTTGAGCTTTGGCCTTCCTCCTCTAAAGAGACCATATCTTCCCAACTGACATTTTCTACAATTGTTTTGACTACTTGTGTTGACATATCTGTATTTGCAGTAGTTTTTTTGCTTTGTTGTTGTTTTGTTATGTTGTTTATTTCTTTTTGTCCGTCTAAGAAAAAATTTTGTATTTTTAGTTTTTTGTTGCAAGTTTCTTGTATTCCAAGAGAAATATGTTTTCTTTTCTTTGGTATAAGGGCTAGTGCCCTTGTTGGCCTTGTTCTAGGTTGTTTATAAACTTGTATTGAGTAGTTATTGTGTATATTGTTTTTTATTCTTTCCTTTACGAATTTGTTTGAGAGAAAGTTTGTGTCAAAAAAAAATTCTGAATTTGTGTTTGTAATATAGATTATTTTCTTAATGTGTTAAGTTTTACTTAAAAATATATAAAGTTCTCGTTTTATATTTAATCAGAATATTTTATTATCAATGCAATTTTTAGTTACAATACTGTTAAAACTTTCATTTAGATTCAATTTATTTATATCGATTTAGTGATCTACATATTTTCTAATCTCGTACCAAAATAAATGAATAAAATTTCAAGATTAGGTCGTAATACTAAATCTAATCAAAAGCTTTATAATATAATATACAAATTAGCATATATAATTATAAATAATGTTTCTATGTTCCTGATTTTAGTGCACATCTACCTTATAATAATAAATCATTGCCAAAATCAATAACTTAATCAAATCAGCCGAAAAATCATTCAGCAAATTTTTATCAGGTGTCCCAGAATTTATGAAAACAGCTGTAATCCGATATGTATTACAGATCTATCTGGTCAAAATTAACGGATACAGATATCCGAATTCAATCCGAATTATCGGTCGGATTGCGGATCGAAACACTATCTAAAACTAATAGGATAGATTAGTGAAGCAACCAAAATTCAGCAGACCGACCAAAATTTAGGGTCGGAATAGGCCCGGGGCTAGCCGGCATTAAGTAATAATACAAGCCAACTATATTATAGCAAAATTATCATCTGGGCAGCTTTACTTAGTACGTGGGCTAGTAAAATTTTGGGTGATTTGGGGAGAAATTTATCAACTCCGGCCTATTCCGACCCTAAATTTTGGTCGATCTGCTGAAATTTTGGTTGCTCCAACTAATGAGGAATCGTGCATCAGTTTCGTACATAAAAAATTTTTAGCTACGTATGCATATAGAAAAAATACCGTTCCTGATGGATTGTCGGTACTGTTCCTGTTATTGTGGGAAAAAAATCTGATTTACATACCGTTCCTGATAGGGTTCTAAAAAAAGGCTCTAAACTACTATACTACTATAATAGAAAAAGAGGGTTCGTTTTTAGGACCCTATCAGGAACAGTACTCGAATAAATTTTTTTTTTAACTCCATCAAGATCAGTATTGCCGATCCATCAGGAATAGTATTTTGCATATATATTTTTTGAATAAAATTTCTTAGTTAAATGTAGTAAAAACGTGATAATTTATTAAGCGTGACTATTAGTTGCACCTAAGTTGCCAACTAATCGATTTGAATCATTTTGAAATTATCTAAAACAATGATAAATATAACGCCTGCAATCGTAGCGTCATTAAATAATCAAATGTTAGTACAAATCATTAATTTATTTTATTATGAGAAACAATTATTATGAAGGTAGAAAAAAATTGTCTGATAGATTTTAAGCCCTGACAACCACCGTTTCTCCAGCTTCAACTTCTGAGACTTCTATTGGTTTTGACAGTGACTAAATACAAATAGAAAGTTATTAAAACTTCATGGAAAAAACAACATAAATATTATAAATAATACCTCATCAAGGTCTAGTTTTGTTTTATCTTCTAATGCACGAATATCTTCCATAGTCATACCAAACCATTTATCGGTCCAACCAAAAACTTGTCTATGAAACTTAATAAAAAGATTATGCATGACCTAAAAAAAAGGTTATTGAAATAAATCAAAAAAAAAAAAAATTTTTTTAAGACTAATATAATGTGCTTACATCTTGAATAAATGCTTCAATTTTAGTTTGAAGACCGAACCATTTAAACTCTACAGTAACAAGCTTATAACAAGTCATAACCGGTGTGACAGTTTTCTTCGAGACATAAAAAATAACTTTATATCAGCATATAGAATAAAGTATCAAATATAAATTTATCAATTCTTACAATCCAATCTCCTTTCAATGGGCCTCTACCGGTTTTTTCGGAATGGAACAAGGTAGGATCTAGATCTTCCTGGTAATCTTTCTTATCAACAGGGTCATTTGCAATATCGACTATTACTATTTGACGTTTCTCAAGTAGATCTTGGGAAATATTCAAAGCCTAAATTATTGAGGTATAATGATATACTTATTATTCATGATCATATATCAAACCAGTTAAAAAAAGCTTACATTTTCTACTTCGCCGCGGCTTTTATCAATATGCATTGATTCAGTAACTAATTTAAAATTTTCTTTCATGTATCCATTCTATGAAATGAATTATCAGTTGTTTTTGTTCATAAAATTGAATGCAGATTCCAAAGAAATACATACTGTCAAGACTAATTAATTTTATATGTAAAAGATTTGTTTATGGATTAGCATAAAATGAATTGATACCTTTTAACCCTTACGTGTTTAACATGATCCAATACCTGTCCTACAATGTGGGTAAGCATTCCACGCCTCTTCGTAAAGTTCAAGCGCTCCACTAGGTGCCAATGCTCTGATTAACGTTGGAACTTTGCTATAAATCAAGACTTATAGGTTAGAATTCTTTGTATCTAATATATATATATATATACCGCGAATTGAATAGAGGTGAACGACAGAATTGCATTACAGTATAACCGAATCAGCCACTATAACGAAGAATTTTTCTAGCTGAAATTGTGGTTTCATTATAGTAAGGTACCTCAATATATCGAAACCTTGATATATCGAACCAAACACAAGCTCCAGAGCTTCGTTATATCGAGGTTAGACTATATTTGATTTCATAGTTCAAAGGTGAAAGGAACTTGATATTTTAAAACCAACCTAGAAAGATGATATATCTTATACGTATATTGACCCCTTCCATTATCGTAAGGTTCGTTCTTGATCACTTCAACGCCTTCGCCTCCGCTAGTTTCGGCTTTTGAAGCCTCGGCGACCGCATATAGCTGAGCAACCTACTAAGCAAGTCGACTTTAAAAAAAAAGGCTAACTCTACAGTATAAAGAATGAAAGATTTTTACTTGATATTCCTCGAGTGTACAGTTGTTAATTACTCTATATTCTTTTATAAGCATTTTATTAAAACGTGTTGAAAGATAATGATCGGCCCGTTCTCAGAGATAACCTAATAATTGACAATTATCGTTATCAAAAATCTGTGCGATACGTAATTATCAGTTAGGGCGTTAGCGTTAGAGTGCTTTAAGGTGTGAATCAGGTTGGGATCGGATGATCGTTCGGATGATAGTCCGGATTATGGACCGGAAATTAACTCTTTTTAGATTATTTTTCAATTAAATACGATTGATTATATAGCAATAAGCATGATGGAAGTTCGTTTTAATTGGACACTATTACCCGTGACAATTACCCAATCAAATTACATAATTTTTAAAAATTCTTCGCTCTAATATTACTAGAAAATGAGAGAAAACTTTATATAAAAAATTTTTCAAACTAACAAATCTTTATATAATATTTTATTACATATATTTAGAAAATAGATTGATACACATTAAGAAATAAATGTGATACTGTATTTATTATTAATAAATTCAAAATTATAGATCTATAATTTGGATCATATAGCTTATAACACAACTCTTCCCAACAATCACTTGTACCAACCTAATACCAAAAGCAAGTTGAAGATTCAAGCCTTGAAGTCGACAACAACTTGAAGTTTTCTTGATACGAACTGTTGTCAATGAAGTTTTTAAACATGATATACCGAGAAGCGGGTGTTTTGGACGGTTTGCAAAGGGGTCAAGCCTTGCTTCTCTGCTATTTCTGGGGTGGACTCCTCTTTGCGTTTGGCAT